TCGCGTGTGTGTGTGCGTGTGCGGGCCGGAAAAGTGCGTAAAGCTTTTCCATTTATTTATTTTGTTTTGTTTTGGTTTTGTTTTTCAACAAATTTCGCGCGCTTGGGCGTTAACTCTGAACGCTTGTCAGAATGACTACCAAAATGGCTATAAATGCAAAGGTTCGTACTAACTGATATACTATTTAATAAGATTGTTTAATAGGCTAAAACATATTTGAAAAAAAAAGAATAATAAATACCAAAATCAGTTCTTGAAGTTGTTAAAGTTCGATTTTAAGCAACGTCAAAAAAAAAAAAAAAAAAAAAAAAAAAACACTACATGGAAACAACTGGAATATTGAAAGCACTAAGAGAAACATTATTCCAGATTGTGTCTAGCATACAATACATAAAAAGCAACTTAGCAACAGGTGTGCCGCGCAGCCCAAACAGGTGCGCTTATAGTCAATATTTGTGGAATATGGATGGTGGAACTATAACAAAAGCATCAAAGTGAATAAGAACATAGCAAACAGCCTCAAAGCTCAAAATTACTTACCTAGATTAACCAAATACCAATAATTCCATTAAATGATATATGTACATATGTACAACTTAATTATAGATCTTACTTATCTAGACTATCTCTATATTGTAGATTATATACATATAAAATAAATAGATTTCTATTTGATTTTAGTTCTTCATCTCAATTTTTAAAATATGTTACTAAAACATGTCTCAAAGTCTATTTTAGAGTTACATCAGTTTAGAAGTTAGTTGGCTGCATATATTCAAGATAACTAGAGTTCAAACATCTTAGAATAGCATACTTTTAAAAATTTTGGAACTTCATTTTTGCTAGAAGATTTAATGTTTAAAATATATGTAAATATTCTAATATAGGAAATAAATGTTAGAGATAATTTTCTTTACCATCCTCAAAGTAAATTTTATGAATGCCTTTTAAATATCATTTCCTTCAATCCTACAATTTTTTCATTGAATATTTTGAATTCAATTTGAAGTAGAAAGGGGAAAACTTGGAAGCTTCAGCTGGAAAAGTGGCCGAGTTCAATGAGTTTGTTTGAAATCAGTTTTTGACAACTATAATTTTTTTTTTTTTTTTTTTTTTTTTTTTGCATTTTTGATTAATATGATTATTTATTTATGTTTTTTGTATGGCATTTATTTAAAAAGGGTTTTTTTTTTAATATTTGGCTTTCATTAAGTTTATGTATTTATAAATTTGAAGAGAACTAACAAAAAAGAAATGAAAACAAATTGTTTATTGCACTCGATGCATTCGGCTTATCTCCAGGGATTTGCTTAATGATAAGCCAACGGCACATGTTCACCTGTTCATGCCCCGCTAGACTAGACCCATCGCAGCGCTCCTCAAGTGTGCTCTGATATGATATATACATGTACAGCACACATTTACACACTTGCACACATACACACATACATTCCCACATATGTATAGCATATAAAACTATATGGCAGACAATCCGGCTCCGATTCGGGCAAACTCAAAGCAAACGCACGTTTGGTTTTCGGTTTGTGCTTGAACTAGTTTATTTTTTCCCTCAATATTTTCGAACTGATTTGTGGCTGATGCAATGGGCCACACGAGTTGCTCAGTTTTTCGCTATTCAGCAGATATTACTTTATATTTATTATGCTGTATTTAAATAATTTTGGTATTCCGGCATGAAGACACCAAACTCAACTATTTCATCATAATTGTAACTGGCTGGGCCATGGCCAGAGGTGGACGGGGTAGGGGAAGGGCGAAACTTTTGCATATATGTCATTGAATCGGCCTATGATTGATAGACGTTTTCGATTAGAATCTGTTATTGGGCGCTATTTAAGTGGGGGTCTACGCTTTGTATACTACAAATTTTGACCTCTTGCAACAAAATATCAATTTGTTATGACGACTATAAATATTGTCGTGGATCTGCCATAATAAGATGACTACGCAAATTTTTGATTCCAGTAATATTATTCCGATTAGAATATAGAATAGGTATATAGAAAGGGTAAGGATAGTGAGAGGTCAAGAAGAAGATATATACATATATAG